CAGGTCTGTGCAGTGTCGTATGACATCTATGTACCAAGTTTCATTGAAATGTGATGATTAGTACTTGAGATATCAGTGGAAAAACCGAAAATTGACTAATCATTATGCAAATTAGGTAATTAGTATCCACGGATTATTACCAAAAACTAATCAAAACCTAGCATTAGTTCAGAGCATCTATGTACCAAGTTTCATCAAAATCCAATGAGTGGTTGTTTAGATATCAGTGGAACAGTCATGGAACCACTAAAAAATAGCTAATTATCATGCAAAATAGGTAATTAATATGCACGGATTTTTACCAAAAATTAATCAAATCTGCGCATATGTTCAGAGCATCTATGTACCAAGTTTCATCAAAATCCAATGAGTGGTTCTTTAGATATCAGTGGAACAGTCATAGAACAGCTAAAAATTAGCTAATTATCATGCAAATTAGGTAATTAACGAGCATGGATTTTTACCAAAACCTAATCAAATCTGCGCATTGGCCCAGAGCATCTATGCACCAAGTTTCATCAAAAACCGATGTATGGTTCTTGAGATAGCAGTGGAACAGTCGGACACACACACATACACACACACATACACACATACAGACACACTAACTGCAAAGACTCCCATTTTGTGCTTCGCACATGGGAGTCAAAAATCTGTGCCAATTACAAATTCAGACTGACATACATCAGGGAGAGCACTAAACAAACTTTGCAGAACACTTTTGCACCTTTATAAAAACATTTGTTTATTAAAATGCTGAATTGTGTGAACAATATCAACACAGTTATTTACTAAAAAATACTTTATTTTAGCTGGAATTAATTTTTGCTGAAAAGACTTTTTAGGTGTTTTGTATAGAATTTATTTTCACTGATTTTTGAAGAGTTGAATGTGAAACATAGGAAAAAGGTATTTTCGCTTGATTTTATGTTATCCTTTCAGCGAAAAAAAGGTTCTAAGTGAAATACTATTAAAGTAAAATACTACAGTGGTTTGACATGAATGTGAAATGCTGACATTGATCTGCTCAGAGAGAAGATTATCATATAATTATCATACATTGATCATCGTCTTAATAATGATAGACATATATAAGATGATATCAAGTCAAGATGATCCGTTCATCACTGCAGAACAGTACAAGCATTACAAAGTTCAATCAAACTCAAAATAGATGTGGCTGTATACTCTGAATGTTATTTTATATACAATATAATGATTTTTGTTTAATCATGAAATTAAAAATACATGAATATTTAATGACTCTACAGTAGATAGTTTCAATGCATTCTGGGAACATTTGCACCAATCGAAAGTTCTGTACCATATGACACAGTACTTCTATACACAATGTACTGTTCCTTCTAGTTTTACACATACATGTAGTGGTTTACCATGCTTACACACAGAAATAATATTGATATGGTAATTATCTTTAGTTTAATAAAATAAATATGCAAAGTATTTGCCATGCATGAGTATAAACCTTATACATTTTTGTACTTTATGTAGGATACATATGAGAAAATAAAATACTTACTCTGTCAACCATAATAAGTTCTTTTTCACCATCCATTAGACAGTTTATATTGTCCAAAGCATCAAAGTGTAACACAGATTTAGTTCCACCACTACTGAACCATATGACAGCATCCAGTAAGACTTTTTGAAAACCTCCACACAGCATACATTTTAACAACATATATTCATCTGAGAAGAAACCATAATATACATTAAATTATTAAACATCAGACATCAAAAACAATAGAATACTCTTGTCGTAAATTGCTGTATAGAATTTGACTGTCTTCCTTCCTTCATATTTACGTCACATTCAAAGACTGTGCTATAAAATATGTAAAATAATAAGGTTCTCACAAGAATATGGCAAAGCATGTACTCAGGCAGTATAAAAATGGATCATTTTCCGCTACATGTTAGTTGTTACTATCACTACACTGCAGTGCCTCCTAGCATACTTCGCAGTATTTTGGTAATAGCCTCATAATATACTCCTTAATTTTTGTACCAATGTGACATTTTAGGACAACACTGCCGTAGATATTTACCTACCTTTCATCTCATTGTGCATACTTTGTACCATATAAACATCAGATTTAGAATAAACGTCAAGAAAACTACTAAAACTCATATGATATAATTCCTTTGATCGATTTTCTTTTTTTCCTTCTTCCACTTCTGCTTCTAATTTTCCATATTTCTTCCTGCATCAAAATAAATCTTATTAAACAGACATGATAGAGGTATGTTGGGTACTACATGGACATGACAGAGGTACATGTATGCTCCATGTATTTATTGGACATGACAGGAATGCTGGGTATTTTGCACTACCATGGGCGCGACAGAGGTACCGTATGCAGGGTACCCGGTATTAAATGGCATTTAAATTACTTATAAAATAAACAAATATTAGGAGTAACATACAATGTAAATAAAAACAATAGCATACAATGTACAAATGTATCTATAGTTATTATTGCTACAGTCACCGTGAAAAATATGTCATAGAATATCAATGAGTTTTTTTTTTCTAATTATTATTTTTATGATTTTGCAAATGGTAACTCTTTCTTTAGTGTCACTGTGAGGTCACAACCATTTTTTATTTTAATAGGCCTTTGAAGCTAACATTTTTAAAGCACAGAAATACTACACAGATATTGTAATGCTTTTCACTGAGCTGCTATATGAATTTTAGCAAATCAGAACTGATCAAAAATTGAAAAAATGGAGCTGTGACACTAAAACAAATTCAGACCATGTATAGGTGTAGGTTTGAAGGCTACAACCATCAAAATTTGTCTACCATAAATAATATCAAGATACCTTTATGTAAATGTAGTAATTTATTGATACAACATCATATGATAGAAGTGCACTCAGTAGACCCATATAGTACTAAGTAAACATGAACATATGATTAATACATTGTAGATTACTGTTATTACTAAATACATGTACAAATGTATGAAGTGGTATTATTATCTAATATTAATTTTTTCACTATGATACATGTACATTTTGGCATTTACAACTGTATATGTGTATGTTGTCCTATAATTTTGTCATTTTAAAAAGATTTTTCAATTTTAATGACAAATGCTTATATTGTTTGGGAAATATAATTGAAATATTTTCATTGATAATAAATTTGTACCACCAGAAAGAACTAGAATGTGTGACCTTTGTTTTTTTTGTTTTTTTTTTTTTTTGGGGGGGGGGGGGTCATGCATAAGACATTGCCAGGTTTCAATTACACTAAATGTATTTGAGAAGATAAAATTCCAGTAATCTTGCTCTAAACTGTAATGATATGTTTTGATGGTTTTGAATAAATGATGCAACTTCAATTTATGTCTTTTTTCTGCTCTGCTTATTTTCATAATACATGTACTTGTTTTGATATTTTTTTGACGAGAGGCAGAACATTTTGTTTTAACTCTTTGAGCACTATTCAATATTCAATTCAATGTGTTGTAATCTTACTGTATAATAAATATCATTCTATAAGACCTGTCCTCTCGTCAGTATTTTGACTTCTGTTGAAAGAAATACTCATTCCCTGTGGCCATTTTGAATATTCATACTGCTGGGGAGAACCCTGCCAGTATCAACTTTCAACACCAGCAACAAAATGATTGTGTACAGTCTAGTATTCCCCGCATGAAATAATAAAAACTAACAAACCTTTGAGTCCAAAATTAAAAGCAATATCTGAAACTGTTAGTATGATCTGAAAATATGATGAAATTTAGTGAAAATTTAACAAAATATGAAAATATTTGCATTATATTTTGGGCAGAATTTATCTGGCAGTCAAAGGGTTGATAACTCATTCTAATTAACGAATGGTTGCGCAATTCATTCCATTTTATTACAAACCTAGCCCAGCTCAGTTTATATATTTGTGTTGATCCATCACATCTACATTGTATATTGCACAGTACCATATTTGCACTATTAGATTGGACATCACCAAAATTTCTTTTGTACTTTCATACATGTATATTGTACTAGAGTACACATGTATTCACTGGGTTCAATTTATGTGAATTTAATGTTGCAGAGGTACATGTACAACTGTATTCACCAGGTTTTAAATTCACTGGATTATGAAAAACAACAAATCATATTACATTGTTAAATTTTAATATTGACCGGGTTTTAAATTCACCGGTTTATGAAAAACAACAATTCATTTTATATTGTTAAATTTTAATATTGACCGGGTTTTAAATTCACCGGTTTATGAAAAACAACAATTCATTTTATATTGTTAAATTTTAATATTGATCGGGTTTTAAATTCACTGGATTATGAAAAACGGCAAAATTCATGTTATTGTTAAATTTGAATATTCACTTAGTATTAATTTAGTGCATTTCACTACCAGCAAAATAAGCGAGAATAAAAGCCAGTGAAAAACCCTATACAGTATTTCAAATACTGTTGCCTAGTTACCAACATTGCTCTCTGATCCTTTTTTCAATAGTTTGCTATATATCTAAGCTCTGACATGTAGAACATCAAAAGGTATTTAGCATTATGGAATCACAGGCTGAGTACACAGAAACACATAAACAACAACCAATAGCATACATGTAACTATGTGCTGGAACATAACAAATATGACATGTCTCTATCATTCACATAACCACAATCACTATTCTCATAAAATATGACCATTTCCTAGAACAGTAAATAAACTGAACTGGTACATAAATATTAATACATGTGTGCAAAAACGTATTTTTAAATGTAGTAAGTCATTAAATATCATTGTTCAAAATATGAAACTAAGCGAACCTTTCGATTCTAAGACTAATCTGGATTATTTGAAGCTTCACTCCAGGGAAAAATGAACTATGAATACTTTATAGAATAAGGGAGATTATAACTGCCTCAATCTGAAAATAACACATCAGACAGTGCTACAGTTAGACTTAACAAATAAAATATTTATAAAAATTCTCAAGCGAAAAGATATTGCAATATATTGAGACGGTGAACTGAACTGAATACTGTAAAATCTGTATTAGAAGCCGCGGCTTCTATTAAAATGATACAATGAAAGGGATGCGGCTTCTATTAGAGCATCTACACATATGAGAAATGGTGAATTTTTGGTTCTCAATTTTTCAAAAAGAATGGGTGCGACTTCTATCAAGGATGCGGCTTCTAATACAGATTTTACGGTAGATATTTTTTACTACAGTAGTTTCTGAGACTTATGCTGAGACTTGTAACTTACAAGTTATAAGTATTAATAAATATATATAAGTCATACTTGTATTATATGGGCTAAATGTATGAGTTAATTAATATAAATTAGCCAAAATGTCCAGGGTGGAAAATGGTGGCCAAAACATTCATGATCAAAACTTTATTTGTCCATTGTTTACTGTACTGAGAAATGAATGTTAAAAGACATGGTTATTTGTATATACATATTCTTTAGTAGGCTTGGTTCTTTCTTAGTCAGTACTAGATGCAAACACATTACCTTTAATTGTATGTATGTAGAGTGAAGTATGAATACAACTAATGTGATAGAGTAGTGTCTTATATCAGATTATGAACAGACTTTGAAAAAATATGAAGTGTGTATACATGTACTGCTGAAAAAAATGATTTTAGAATGCTTGAATCAAAGTAACTGACATACATACATGATATATGTATATGATGCACTGTACAATACATAAACTTAACCTTGCACATTAATATGGCAAAATTATTGGTGCTAGTAATACAAGTAATTTAGAATCTTATAAATTACAATTAGTTGTCACTATCACATGTAATATCTGAAACAGCTGCTACATGTATGTTTTGAAATTGAACAGTAAAAAATATAATAAATCAATTTTTATCTAAGTGTCTTACATGTAAAGGTATTCTCATTTTCATTTCTGTCGTTGATTGTTTTGTTTATTCATCTTGTCTTGTCTAAAAAAAAAGTATTTACTCAAACTTAACTGCAGGAGTGATTATTAATGACATTTGACATTCATAATTTTACAGATGTGAATGTACCGCTATTATGTATTGTAATGTACAAAATAAGGTGAAGAACAAGACAACCATCTAATTGAATGAATAATTTCTTGATCATTAGAAACTCTGGGATTGCAGAAAAACTGTGTTCTTCACTTAGTTTTTTGGTTAATATGTTTTATCCATGATGAATTCGTTGTATTTTTTTCCAACTATGTGGAGTATTTTTTTCTCTATTTTTTCCCCCAATGATTTCTTTCTGTGCAATTTTTTTCTCAGTTCTCACCCACCTCCCAGTATCAGAATGGTAAGATTACCATGAAATCTGTTGTCATTGCACAGTTGTATTATATTTTCAACCAAAAACTGTTAAGATTATTTCATTATATCATATGGGTATATGTTTTCAAGGTTATTACATATGTGAATATAAAATAATAAATAGTAAACATTGCTCTCAGGCACTTGTTCATTTTAATAAATTTCAATGGCAGTTGAATCAAACCACCCAAATGAGCACAGTGCGCATCAATTGAAACTGTTTTAATTGTATTGAATCAGTCAATAGAAACCTCTCTAAATGTTAAATTTATAATGAATGGAATACCTTTGTTGCACCCAGAGTAACCATACATCATTATGTATTTTTTTCTAATTCATCTTGGGATATTTAGTAAATTTTGAAGAAAAAAATTACATCTATTAAATGAGATACTGCATAGCATGCACAGAAAAAAATGCCCCTGAGAAAAACTTGAGATTATATTCCAGTCGGTAGTGATACCAGGAGTGGGACTTGAAAAAAAAAGATCTTTTAAATTAAAGTACCCCTCCCATTGCCCTACATGTATCTAATGACATAAGATTGGTTTATGTACAGTCCTCTATCACGTCAATGGTTTACAAGGACAACCATGCTTATCTTACCTTAAGTATTCATCGGTCCATAGCAGATACGATTTCATTGCCTTCCCAGCACCACGAAACAAAACAGGTTTTCCTGGTTTTACGTATTGTTCAAAGAACGTTTTTGGGGTCTGGTACTTCATCTAACACTTCTATTGTGCCTTCGGGCGGCCGGTGAGCGCCAAGTGGTTTCATGTGCCCCGGGATATTTACCAATGTTTCCAAGTTTGGCCCGTCGACAGTCTTGGTACTTGGGTCTATATTCACGTCGCTGATTGTGTTGCATTGGTGGCCGAAACACAACACAACCAGCAAACACAATATATACATGTTTTTAAGCTAGGCTCAATCAAACTACACAGCGACTCAATCTACTGCGTTAATTCCGGGTTCGCCAGGCATGTAGTGATCGAACTGATTCCTGGGTAATGCAGGGAACCACGGGAAATCACGTGATCACAGAAGTCGCCTCTGCTGTTTTCACTGCCGACATTTTTACATTTACAGATGAATTTGTTTCCCTTTTCGAGAATAACGTCACCCAGACCAGTACAGAAGGTGAACACACTACAATACTGAGGTAGGGTTGAATATTTTGAAGTAGACATTGTATAGTTCGTCTGAAATACTTCCGAAGCACGAGACCTATTGGCTTAACGCCGAGGTTCACGCAGCCTCGCCCGATGCAGAATTATAATCGTTATATTTGGCGTAAAAGAAAACACAGTATACCTGACTCTTCTTTGTGAGGTCTGTCTTATTTTTCTGACGATGAAGTAACAAAACAGGAATGAAAAGTGACGAAATAAATGATTAACTTTATGTGGAACCTGGAGGTCAAAATATAGTCTAGGTGAGGTGCATCATGGGAGTTAGTGGCTGCTTTGCAAATTTGAGCAGTGGGTAACCTATACAGTTGTATCAAGCTTAAAGCGACTTCACACTTGTTTATATCTTAAATTCCTGCCACCTGCAACTAATTAAACTCTTGCCCAAGCAGCTGATTCGATCACCACAAGCCCTTTGAAAAATGGTTATTTTGTTGAACCGATTGTGTAATCATAAATAGACCTTGTAATTAAATTAATTCTGTAAACAGGCAAAGTGTTCTCCCCAGGATACTTAACAGCATGCTGGTACCACCACAGTGCTTTGTTTTATCACCACAATGTTCTGACATCATCATAGTCCTGACTGCCGATAGTGGTTTATTTCCTCTGTTGCTGGCTTAATTTTTAAATTCAACTAATAAATTTCTAAATAATTGATGTAATAAGAGTTTTGTAATTAAATAATAGTGTGTATTGAATGTTTATGTTAATCATCACAATTTCTGTTATAATAATAATTAAGCCATCGCTATAGCAGAAAATGGTCAACTGTATATTTCAGATGAATTAAAGTGATTTTTAATGTAATTCTAAATAATTTTTTACTGTAATACTCATTTATGTATATATACTCAAAATTGTAAATATGAGTGACACACTATGTATTATGCTGTAAATGCCGTATAATTTTAAATCGTAACTTTTATAGCAATTTCGTAACTTTTTAGAGAAACCAGATTATAGTGTATTTAATTGTCTCAACTTGTAAAGTTGTTAATAAATGAGCATTCTAAAATCAATTATAATAATTAGGCAAATAATATGAAAATATTATGCAAATTAATATGTACAGTGGACTGTGGTACAAGTTTCTGAAAACACTGATACATTGTACATGTGTTCAAGATGTATATGTTGTATCAGTAATTTTAGATGGCAATATCACATGACCAAGAATAGACTAATTTGAATCGGGATCTCTTTTTTTTTTGCCTTATTTGCAATGCAAATTAAACGTTGATTTCCATAACAATATGTTATTTGATCTATCATTCAATGAAAATGATTATCAATCATCTTAATTTTTCCCTTGTTTGTTTACCTCGTTTCACTGTATTTTTCATTCTATCCAATCAGATACATCAGAACGATTTTTATAAACATATCACACTATGGTACCGGTATTTGCTTTGTCTGATTTGAAACAGTATTCAGTATTTTCCCCTGACATTTTAACAAATATTAATGTAGATTAAAATTTTAAAAAAAAT